TAAAATAAATCCTGAAGCTGTGGGAGGAATGCTTGTGAGAGATGAAGAGGGGGGGAAAGGCGTTGAGTTGTGAGAATTATACCAGCTGGTGAGGGGATTGGACGTCCAGACTGGACTTTTACACAAGGCAGCTGTGACCTCTTAATGAGTGATTCACACTCACACACGTCACAAACACACTGAGGGGGTGTTCAGATGACACTGTTTTAATAAAGATGATGCATAGACTGACCAGCCAAAATCTGGACGGTTTGGCTCTAAAAGAGATAAGATGCTTGTTTGCTCACACTTTACTTGTTTCAGATTTTGATGAGTTTCTTTCTTCTGTTAAACACAAAAGCAGATGTTGTGAAGAAAGCTGAATAGGATAAACAACAAGTATAGAAGTCAAGGGCTACAAGTTTTCAGCCTTTTATTAATATATCTTCTTTGGTATTCAACTGGAGTAAACTCATAGGTTTGAAACAAGTCAAGGGTGAGAAAATGATGACAAAATTGTTAGTTTTGGGTAAAGCTAAAGCAGATATTTTGAAGAATGCTGAAAACCTGTAACCATTGACTTTCATAGTGAGAAAAACAATGGAAGTCATTGCTTATAGGTTTTTAGCTTTCTTCAAAATATTTTCTTTGATTTCATAGTAGGAAAAACAACTACTATGCAAGTCAATGGTAACAGGTTTTTAGCATTTTTCAAAATATCTTCTTTTTTGTTCAACAGGAGGACACTCAAAGGTTTGAAGATGAATTTACTCATCCTATACTTGTTCCAAACCTTTATGACTTTATTTCTTCTGTTGAACTCAAAAGCAGATATTAAGAAGAAAGCTGAAAACCTGTAACCACTGACTTTTATAGTAAGATAAACAATGGAAGTCAATAGTTACAGGTTTTCAGCTTTCCTTAAAACATTGTCTTTTGTGTTCAATAGGAGGAGATTCACAGATTTCAAACAAGTTAAGCACGAGTTATGTTGATCAAAAAGCAGATATTTTGAAGAATGCTGAAAACTTGTAACCATTGACTTTCATAGTAAGAAAAACAATAGAAGTCAATGGTTATAGGTTTTCAGCTTTCTTTAAAATATCTTCTTTGACTTCCATAGTAGAAAAAATAACTACTGCGAAAGTCAATGGTTACAAGTTTTCAGCATATTTCGAAATATATGCTTTTGTGTTCAAAGAGAGGAAACTCCTAAAGGTTTGAAATAAGCATAGTGTGAGGTCTGTTGATCACGAAAGCAAATATTTTGAAGCAAGCTGAAAACCTGTAACCATTGACTTCCATAGTAAGTTAGTAATAAAAGTTTGAAACAAGTAAATGGTGAGCAAATGATGACAGAGTTTTCAGTTTTGGGTGAACAATCTCTTTAAAGATGAAAATGTACTCACTACTTACTCATTCTAAAAAAATTTTAAACCTTGTAACCATTCACTTCCATAGTAGGAAAAAGAACTACTATGGAAGTCAGTAGTTACAGGTTTTCAGCATTCTTCAAAATATCTGCTTTTGTGTTCAACAAGAGGAAACTCCTAAAGGTTTAAAATAAGCATTGTGTGAGTTCTGTTGATCACAAAAGCAAATATTTTGAAGCAAGCTGAAAACCTGTAACCAATGACTTTCATAGTAAGAAAAACAATGGAAGTCAATGGTTACAGGTTTTCAACTCACCTCAAAACTTCTCCTTTTGTGTTTAAAATAAAAAAGAAAGTGATACAGGTTTGGAAAAGTATGAGAGAATAATGTCAAAATCACAGTCTGAGTCATTTTAAATGTTATCCCGGATTTTCCATGCTGTATAATGGTGTTGAATAGTGGCTTTTATTTTGATGCTTCCAAAAGTGTATAAAGCGGTCATAAAATTAATCCATATAGCACCAGGGGGTAATGAAAATTTGTGTTTAATTTTTTTTTTTTTACCAAAGATAAAATTCATTCATTAATTTTCCATCAGCTTAGTCTTTGTTTCAAAGATCACCACAGCAGAATGAACCGGCAACTATTCCGGCATATGTTTTGTGCAGCGCACAATTTAGTTCCAACTCTAATTAAACACACCTGATAAAACTAATTCCTTCAGGATTGTTAAAAACCTACAGGTAAGTGTGTTGAAGCAGAGTTAAACCTAAACTGTGCAGAGCTGCGGCCCTCCAGAAAATGGAATTAATACCTATAACAGCGGATGCCCTTCCAGCCTCAACCCAGTACTGGGAAACACTCATACACTCTCACATATTCATAGACTGTGGCCAATTTAGTTTACTTAATTCACCTATAGCATATGTGTTTGGACTGCTGGGGAAACCGAGGCACCCATGCCGACAGAGAGAACATGCAAACTCCACACAGAAATGCCAACTGACCCAGCTGGGACTCGAACCAGCGACTTTCTTGCTGTGAGGTGACAGTGCTAACCACTGAGCCCCCTTTTTTTCTCCAACATTTTTCAGAATATCTTGATTGTCATGAAAAAAATCATAAAAGTTTAGACCCAATTAAATGTGAATACTTGTTTTGTGAACCACCCCTTTAAACTTAATTCATTAAATGTATTTTGGTTAAAGTTAATGCAGAATATATGTCATGTTAGTACATCTGGCCTCTTTAAAATATCTTCCTCTGTGTTCAACAGAAGAAAGAAACTCATCGCTTTGACAAATTTGTCTTTATACAAGCTCAATTATTCTAATCACCGGTTTGTCATAATTATTAATGAGGCTGCATGTCCTTATCCTATGAGAAGATGCTTTGCTTAATTATTCATGACAGCACGTGTTGTGTTCCTGACAGACGCTTCAGTCTGAGAGACTGCATGCAGTGAGGGAGATTAAATCTGCCTGTTTGTTTTAGCTTTGTTGGAGTTTCTGCGTGACTTAAATTCTCTTCAAACTGTCTTTAAAATTAACACTGTTTATTCGTCTTTGTGTCTTTGTGTAACTCGTTAGAACTGATCAAGAGGCTTATATGAACCACAAAATAATACGCCTTAAAGGGGTGGTTCAACCCAAAATAAACATTTCTTCATTATTTATTCACACTCAAGTCTAAACTTTAATGAATTCCTTTCTTCTGTTGAACACAAATCACGACATTCTGTAGAATGTTGTAAAAAAAACAGCTATTGGCATTTGGTTTGTTAAAACAAACCGAAAAAACGTTTGGAAATCAGTGGCTTTTTCCAGCATTCTTCAGAATATCTTCCAGAAGAACAACTGGAGGATGAGTAAATGATCATTTCATCAGTTTTTAAAGTAATTTCCATTATATTTATTGTCTGGAGAAAGTCTTTTTCTCTTATATGACGCCGTTTTAGTGCCATGTTGAAAAAAATGATTTAGAATCAAAAAATATAGGATTAAAGTTAAATAATTCAAAAATAAAGTCAAAATGTTGAGATGTTATTATCAAAATATTACATCAAGACTTTATTCTCAAAATATTATCACTTAAATCTCGTAGAACTCCAACTCTATTCTCGTAACATTTCGACTTTATTCTCATTTCATTTCGACTTCAATCTCGTAACATTTCGATTTCATTCTCGTAAAGTTTCAACTTTATTCAACTTCATTTCGACTGCATTTTGATTTTTTTCTTGTTACATTTCGATTTAAATCTTGTTACATTTCAACTTTATTCTCAAATATTATGAATTTAATCTTGTATATACTCGTATTAATCTGACTTTATTCTCCTTACATTTCAACTTTATTCGACTTTGTTTTTATTCTCGTTACATTTAGATTTGAAATATTATGACTTTATTTTCATAAAACTCACTTTATATTCGGAACATTTCTACTTTATTCTCGTAACATTTCGACTTCAGTCTCAAAATATTGACTTTATTCTCATATAACTTCATTCTCGTAACATTACGACTTTATTCTCATTACATTATGACTTTATTCTCTTACATTTAGATTTTATTCTCGTTACATTTCGACTTTATTCTCGTTACATTTCGACTTTATTCTCGTTACATTTTGACTATTCAAGATACATTTCGTCTTTAAGTTACATTACGACTTTGTTCTCGTTACATTTCAACTTTACTCTCGTTACATTTTGACTATTCAAGATACATTTCGACTTTATATTTAAGATACATTACGACTTTTTTCTCGTTGCATTTCGACTTTATTCTCATTCTATTTCGACTTTATTGAAGTTACATTTTGACTTTATTTCCTTTATTCTCATTTAAAATATAGCCATAAGTAAAAAGAATCATAAGTAAAAAAAAAAGTTTCACTTCGCATGAGAAACCCGTCTGATAAATTGACACTATATAAATGCTATATTTACTATATAAAATACTAAAGTATATTTAGACTATATATTTACACATTAGTCTACTTTATTCACATGATCACGTAAGGATATCCCAATGTTTCCTCCGGGTGCTCCGGTTTCCCCCACAGTCCAAAGAATGTGGTACAGGTGAATGGGTGAATTGGGTAGGCTAAATTGTCCGTAGTGTATTATGAGTGTGAATGAGTGTGTATGGATGTTTCCCAGAGATGGGTTGCAGCTGGAAGGGCATTCTCTGCCTAAAACATATTCTAAAGTTGGCGGTTCATTCCGCTGTGGCAAACCCAGATTAATAAAAGGGACAAAGCAGAAAAGACAAAAACATATTCTAAGTTGGCGGATTATTCCGCTGTGGCTAACCCAGATTAATAAAATTGACTAAACAGAAAAGAAAATCAATGAATAAATGAACAAAAGAAGATATTTTGAAGAAAGTAGGAAACCGGTATCCATCAACTTCAATAGTATTTATTTTTCCTGCTATGCAAGTCAATGCTTACAGGTCTTCAGTTTTCTTCATAGTATCATTATTTATGTTTAACAAAAAAAAAGAAAGAAACTTAAACATGTTTGAAACCACTTTCGTAAACAGTGAGTACATTTGAATTTTTGTGTGAACTATCCCTTCAAGAGAGCAAAAAGCAGTGCCATGTGCAAAAAAAGCCCTACACATTGCTGAATATACTCACAGCCAGAGCCGGATCCAGAGTAGAAGTCTTCATCATCGTAAGGCTCATCTCCAGAGCTCTCATCATCACTTGGTTGAGATTTGCTGCGCTGGGCCTTTAAAAAAAGAAAAAGAAAAACAGAGAAAGAGAACGTCAGAAATGTTTTGACGTCAACAAACCCACAGAAAGCAGAATGATTTAATGCTTCAAAACAAATATCAGATTCACCAAGTGTGTGTGTGTGTGTATGTGTGTGTGAAGGGGTCTAGCGTGGGGAGTCGTTTCACCGAGAGGCCCGTTGCTAGGGGCAACAATTGCCTTTAACCCAATTTCTTAAATAGGGATGAAAATTCAGCAGAAAAAGAGCTTTAGACTGTCCTCAGACCCAACGTGTCACACAAACCAGAAAACTGCTCACAAAAAGCACCATGATCAGTTTATAGAGTTGAAGTTAGAACTATTAGGCCTCCTGAATTATTAGCCCCCATGTATATTTTTTACCCCAATTTCTGTTCAACAAAGAGCAGATTTTTTTCAACACATTTCTAAACATAAGTTTTAATAACTCATCTCTAATAACTGATTTATTTTATCTTTGCCATGATGACAGTAAATAATATTTGACTAGATATTCTTCAAGATACCGGCATTCAGTTTAAAGTGATATTTAAAGGTGTAACTAGGTTCATTAGGAGTAATTAGACAAGTCATTGTATCATTGTATAACAGTGGTTTGTTCTGTATACAAATTGAAAAAAAAATATTGCTTACAGAAGCTAATAATATTGACCTTAAAATGCTTGGAAAAAATGCTTTTATTCTAGCAAAGAAGAAGACTTTCTCCAGAAGAAACAATATTATAGGAAATGCTGTGGAAATTTTCTTGCCATGTTAAACATCATTTAGTTTTATTAGAAATATTTGAAAGAGGAAACAGGAGGGTGAATAATTTTGGAACGATGGATGGAAGGATGGTAGGATGGAATGTCGAAAAAATGAATTGATGGATGGAACGATGGAAGGATGGAATGGCAGAAAAATGGATCGACGAAAGGATAAAACAACGGACGAAACGATGGATGGAGGGATAAAATGATAGAACGATAGATAGATGGATTAAAAAGGAGAATGATAGAATGATAGATAGAGCGATAGAATGGTACAACGATTGATAAAAAAAATATATTGATATGGATGGATGGATGGATGAAATGATGGAAGGATGGAATGATGTATCGATAGAGGGATGGAACAATAGATGGATGGAATGTCAGAAGGATGAAACAACGGACGGACGAAATGTTGGACGGATGGATAGAATGATAGAAAGATAGATATACGGATAGATAGAAAGATAGAATGAAAGAACAATAGAATGATAGAATGATAGATGGATCGATAGATGAAATGGTAGAATGATACAACGATAGATAGAATGATAGAACGATAGAACAACAGAATGATTTGATATATAGAACGTTAGATTGACAGACAGACAGAAAAAACAGCTATTGACATCTAAAGTTGAAACGAAACAAAAAAACGTTTGGAAATCAGTGGCTTTTTCCAGCATTCTTCAGAATATCTTCCAGAAGAACTCAAACAGATTTCTAACAACTGGAGGATGAGTAAATGATCATTTCATCAGTTTTTATAGTAATTCCCATTATATTTATTGTCTGGAGAAAGCATAAGCTTTCTAAAACATACGCTTTGAACAGGGCTTTACTTCTGCAACAAACGTCCGTAAAAACAGTGTTCAGAGTGACACTTTCCAAAACAACATTACGTAACACACAGCCAATGGTGTTTTACCCCCTATTCATCACTCTTTGTGGTCTCTTTCCTTCCCCCCACTTTCAGGATTGGTTGACCTCCATCTCGAAAACACCCCATAAATACTCAAACCCATAAACCCACCTCATGGCCTCCCCATAATCCCCCATAAACACACACACGCAGGCACAAAAACGGTGTCAGTCATCAGAGTGCACTTAAGCTTAAGCATACACACACACAGACATACACACAC